AAAGAAAGAAAGAAAGAAAGAAAGAAAGAAAAAGAAAGAAAGATATTTTTAAAAATCTGTGGAAGTACTTAGCTCCCTCTTAAAGGTACTAACATATCAGGCCTATAACAATTAGCAAACCTCAACTTCCAAGTTCAGGAAAACATTTACAGCCATTTCCAATGGTTAGAATTACTGCCTTAACTTAGGCTAATATATACACCATTATTAAGTGGGAAGAGGTTTTATTGTCTTTGTACCTCACCAACACTTCAAAACCAAAATCTTAAAGACAGGTTTCATGTTTTTACTTTCTGTACATATTGTTAACTGCAGGTGATTTTACATTTGTATTTCAAAATATTCTGACAGACCAGTTTTTCAACTACAGCTTTAATCAGTCCATTGACCAGCCTGTTGCTGCATGTGTTTTTTAAGATACTGTACATAGTATTTTCCTTGGCTTACTCATGAATTGGAAAAGGCTTTACAGGTAGTCCATTCTCCTATTCTCCGTAGTTTTGCTTTATAAAGTGACTATAAACACTGAGTTAGCAAATACTGAACCAATGCTCCTAGAGAAAATACAGGGTTAGGTTCCTGCAAGCCTCTGGTCACAACATTTTCATAAACCAATCAATACATAACCTTGTGTGTTTCTCTTTAAAGACATCTTATTATTTATAAATATACAATTAACTCATTAACATTGAACTCATGGACAATAGCACTGTAACTCACTCCTGAACAAAACTTATCTAACATGTAAGTTTTCTCTATAAGGAATATCACAGCCTTCTTGCACTTAGTAACACTAGATAACTACATTTAGGGGCCATATTAAACAGGGAAATCACCAACAAGGCACAAAAATACAAAAACTTTAGCCTTAAATAGACTGTGAAAACAATACTTATTTACAGTAGAAGAGCTGAAATAAGTCAGCATATCGATCTCAGCAAGGACTTGCATGTTGCAGCTCCAATTTTTCACTCCTCTGCACATATCCATAAATGACCATTAAAAGTGCCATGAATATTGATTTGGGAATTACAAATAAATCTTAGCAAGTATAATGAATTCAAAAATACAGAATCTTGAATAATGAAGATCAACCATAGTCACCAAATCTACTCTGTAAATAAATGTTCACTGGTTCCTGTAGTCTGAATGCCATGGATACTAATTTAATTCCATAATCCAGAGGATAAACACTATTGTAGCAAACTATCCTGCAAATTATGAAGTCGCATGCTATACAAAAGGATACTTAGACATACTAGAGGAGCAGAGAATGTTCAACAATTCCTTCCATCATTACTGAATCCTCTGCCTCCTCCCACTTTGTTGGGGGTTCCAATCTGAGCTTTAAAAGATTGATTACGGGGTGCCTGGGTGGCTCAGTCAGTTGAGCATCCGACTTCGG